GCACGTCTCTGGATGTGTTTTAAGGCCACACCTGGAACACACAGCTTTCTTGCTTAACATGTTTGAACAAAATCAGCCAAGAAATTAGGATATGTGGAGCTGCACATGTCTGACTCATCCTTGGGAACAATCTCTAGATACTTTAAGGTGCCTTCATCTGTTCAAACAATTATGCGCAAGTATAGAAGTGATGGGATGTTCAAACATCAGACAGCTCAGAAAGGAGACGAGTTCTGCACCACACAGGTGAATGGGTTTTAGTACAAAATGTGCAAATGTTGGATATATCTAGCATTTCTGGTTATTATTAAACTCAGCAAAACATTAAAGTACATGCATTTGCTTAATGGACCTGAAATGGTTGAGGTTCTTAGTTTTGATGCATTTAATTACCTCACGAAAAATATTAGTTTTAATATTTGACCTGTCAATCACCCATTAGAGCTAATTTAGGGAAAATTGGTAAAACATTTTGTCTCTTGTCAATCAAGACTGTTACATTTTAAATGTTTTTATTAGAAACTAAATTACATGGTTCATAGAAACTAATCTTCTATTAACATTTTTTATAATTTTTTTTTCTCTAAAAACTTATAAGCTTTCCTGATCTTATAATATTACACAAGAGCAGTAAAAAAAAATATTGCTGTGAAAGGAATTTTAAAAAGATGGCCTCAGTTCTGTCAGACTGCTCCAGGGTAGATGTGGTAACCATCAGTGTGTGAATGTGTGTGTGAATGGATGAATGACTAAAGATAGTATGAAACGCTTTGGTGTCCTTTGGAATCATTAAAGCACTATATAGTTACATATCATTTATCATTCTGTATAATCAACATTTCAATAAGTTCAAGACTAATTGTTTAGGTGGCAAATAAGCAAATCTATATGACAGAAACACAGAAATGAGAGAACTCAGAGCTATATTTTGTTATCAGCTATGCACTTTACAAACTGTATCTAGTTGTGCTCTGACTGATGTGCTGGCCAAGCCAATCTGTCACCTTGTCCTATTTCCAGCTTGTCAAATGATATCTGTGAAATTTCCCACTCTATGCACAAAACTGATGCAACCATGAAACTGCAGAGCCTTTCCACAAATCAAAATGAAACCTCTGTCCATCAACATGTTAATCCTGAATAAGTATGAAAATGTGGCACATGCTAAAAGAAATTCCTACAACTGTCATTTAATGTGGCCTACATATTGACTCACATCCAGGGAGAGCACAAAAGCATGCAGAGTAGGTTGCATCCTTCGTAGGGAGATATTATGTAAGACTCAAAGGTACCACTTTAGGTCAGCACCAGCTGTCTTCTCAACAGTGTTTAGTATGTTTTGCACAAGGACCATATAATATTTGATCTTAAACAGTTTACGTCCACGCATTGAGTCTTCAGAGCGCCATGCAGCTGTGCACCGGGAGGCCGTCCATTAAAAGTTAATGGATTCACTTTCACAAAAGGACCTTAAAGCCACAGTTCTCAGCGCTCAGTCTCTGTGGTAAAAATAGAAACTCTGCAGAACGGACGGATGCAATTCACAGCCTTCCAAATATCTGTCGCACAACCTGGCTGCCTGTAGTGAGCCTAGTTTTTCCTGACAATGAGGGAGCAACTGGCACAAATTCCCTCAGCTTTCCCAGACACAGTGATTAAATCTCATGCACTTATAATTATTATTGTCCCCACATCACTGCCTGAATGCTGTCATATCACAGCAAAACCAAGCATTGCGTAAGAGGTGGCACAGCGATTACCCTTAATCTGAACTGGGACAAAAAAAAAGAAATGGTTTGGCATGCAACATGAGCAATTATCTGAGAAATACCTCTGGTTCTGCGCAGTAGCTGCAGTTTATTACAGCCCCAATCAAGCCCGACGTTAATGAAGGATCTGTTTACTTGATGAAATCTTCCTCTGTGTAGCAAGAAAACATGAACAGATCTGATGACCGGTTTGCACGAGACTGACTCTCGCCGACCACTTCATGTATTTATGCATCCATGTAATTCTATGGTGCAAACTGGGCCACGGAGACTGGACGCCAGCACAGCACAACGCCTGTTTTGTGTGTCATTTTCCAGATAATCAAATAAGACTTCCACACACTTCAGTGAAATGAGTAAGGAAGGCGGAAAGAAATTCAAGTGAGAATATTTTTTGTTATATAATGCTGTGTATATTTGGTTTATTTATCTCTCCAAAAACTGATGATGGAGGTTGCTTTTTTTTTTTTTGTTAATGATCCATATTCTGTCTGTGCTGCTTGTCTGTTCTTTTTGTTTGACGAGAATTATTGTATAATCTGCTGCAGTGATTTATTGGTACAAATGAAAGAATATTTGCAAATTTAATCCTCCAACCTTCTCAAACATGTCATCAAAATCTGTCTTAGGAGGTCTTGCATGAGACAGATTTTTCCTCACGCTGCTAAGCAAAGTGGAGCTTACGCATTAAAAATTATAATACAGTATTTAGAGTAATTGTCTCCCGTTTCTCTGCCTTATTTTTTCTGTGACAGCTTGTGACACTGTTTTGTCAACATGTGGGAGTAGCAGCTCATTTAGAGACAGATGATTTTTTTTAGAGTGGCATAAAAACCTACAGGAGATAAATTCCAAACGGAGAGTTGCTATTAAAACTTTTCAAAAATTATGAGCAGTCCACTTTGATTTCATGAATGGCTGCTGATTTGTGTGGCCCAGCGGGTGGTGTGATTCAACAGAATTATAAGTAAGGACATGCTGTATCAGTGGAGGACAGGCTGGAACACCCAACAGCATGTTGCTGACATTTCCTCATATCAAGTCCTCCATGTTTTCGCCCTCCATGTTTTCGCCATGATTAATGCACAGTGAACTTTTGGTGTTCATAAAAAAATCCACTCTTTGCATCTTCGAGTGTCTGTCAGTCAAACATTTTGAGTCCCTATTTTTTGATAAAGAGAAGAATTATTAGATGCTCCAACAAACGGAATGAATTTTCATAATTTTGTTATGCAACGCATTAACAACAACACACAACGAAGGTTCTCTGGAAAGAAAACAAACAAAACAAAAAACCTGTTGGATCAATCTTTGACCTTTTCTCATTTTTCCAGTTCAACCATATCTAAGCTAGTCTACTCAAGAACTAGCATGTTTCCCCACATGTAAATAACACAACCACAGTTTTCAAGCGTTTTCATACTCTAATAAATGCTTTATACTGTCAATTAAAAGCATAAGCTTTTATGTATTATAGAAGGATTGCATGGCATAGACACAGCTGTGCCTAATTATAATGTGAAAGAAATAGTATGTGTGTTTTTCAATGTTTTTTTTTCTTTTTACTATCTTAAATCTAAAAAGTGTGGCGTGCATATCTATTCCCCCTGTCTCACAGGGCTTATGGCAAAGTGCAAATGGAAATGTTAACTGGCTTTCATCTTGCAACTTTCACAGAAAGATCAAGTACATAAAATGCAACAACTCTTATGGTTATTATAGTTGAGCATTTAGTACATTTGTAACTCTGCCATATTCTTTCAGTTTTTGGATGATGGTTTGAAACTTGTTCACTTCCATGTTAAACGTCTACCTCAGTTTAAGCTTATTCACAACCATCTGTAACCTGTCTGATTGATCTTCACTGTGCTGTTTGTTCACTAAAGCTCTACAAAACAAACTTCTGAAGCCTTCACAGAACAACTGTTTTTACTCTAAGTTACATGTCACGCAGATGGACTCTGTTTCTGATGCACTGGATTTCATTTAGGGCCATCTGAGTAAAGGGGGTTGCAGCCCACACTTTTCAGATTTGTATTTGTAAAAAATAAAGAGCAAGGTGTACAGTTTCCCCTCCACTTCACGATTACGTGGTATTTTTGTGCTACTCCATGTATTGAAATTTATAGTTAATTTTTGTGAAAAGTTTGAAGGGTAGGCCATAAATAATTCTGCTTGACATTGGAAATAAATAAAGATTAAAACTCGAAAACTTGTCCCTTCTGTGTATTTCTATTCAACTTGTCAACCATGCCCACTCTATTCAAGAAATAACCTGAGGAGGAGAAAAACTGTCATACCTCGTTAAATTTTTCTTGAACTTCCTGTTGTCAGCGACACAAATCAAACGTAGTAACTCTGGCCTTGTTGTGGAGGAGCGTGAAATGAAAGTAATGGCTTACCGCTGTTGAAATCAAATTCTCTTTAGAAACATTTCACACGGGCGTCCTCAACACAAGACAAATCACTTTCCCTGAGCGCACACTGAACATTTCTGCCACGGTCACATCTGTGTCCTTACCGTTTTGCGCCGAGGCAAAGGGCAGCATCAAGTTGCCCAGAAGGACCACCGCCAGCATCACCGCGTTAGGATGCATCGTTAGGGCTCGATAAGGGTCTCTTGGTCGGACGAATGTGGGAGGAGAGATGGTGTAGGCTATTGATCACGAGATCTAAAAAGATGGGCCCAGCATAGCATCGGGTTCTTTAAAAGCAGCCAGCCGAGGTGAATTTTTATTTTTTTTTTAAATCCCGTGGAGATGTCTCCCTGATTCAAACACCTTTTGGAGGGCAGCCGTGGGTGAAAGGTCCGGGACGAGGCCAGCCGAGCTGATCTGCGGCCATAGGCGGCGAAGAAGCCTCGCTGGGATTGCGGGGAAGATGTCTTTGGATGTCAGGGAGATTGTCCACGGCGAGGTTCCAAAGATTCAGAGATGCGCACACCGATGCGCATTTACGCTCCCACCGGTCACGGTTCGGTGATTAAGATGAAAGTAGCGCGCAAGCGATTCCCGACGGCGAGTGATGAAGCCGAAACATAAGTCTGTTATCAGCACCGGTCTATTTTTAATACCAACGGAGGAACAGATGCTGGTAGGGAACCAACGGCAGCGACGGAAAGCCGCGCGTGCCCAGTGCGCTCATGACTGGGGATGAACACACACACACACACACGCCAGCGGCACGCGCACTGCATCGCGCACGTATGTAAAGGCAAATGATGTTTGTGAACTCCGACACTTTTATGCTTTTATTTTTTTTTTCCTGTTTTACATGTTATTTTGTTATTAGTTTCAGGTGACGGGATGCCTATCTCACTTTTTAAACTTCTATTTATTTGGACGCTATTTTGTTGCAATTTTCATGCACGTTCTGAATAAAAGGCAACATATGCAGATGTGTAAGATAAAACAACAAAGCCTTAAAAACAATATCAAGAAAGCAAAAATTAAATCAGTATTTGCTTAAGTCTGATTCAAACTTTTTCCATCACATTCAGATTTCTTTTTGATGAGATTGTGAAGATACTCTTCAGCTCCCTGAGTGGATCATTCTTAAATTATTTAATAATTTACCTGGGTCCTCTCAAAATATGCATTCTAATTTCCTCCTCAAAATTAACATGGCTTCCTTAATCCTCCTCAATCCCTAATCTGTGCTGCTACACGAGCGACCTCGTGTGGCCAGTTAGGATAAACTCGAAAGTACCAGCAACTGTCCCTTATTGCAGTGTGTGCTCACAACTGTACTAATCTGTTTCAGTAAATAGACTGGAAGCATTTAAATACATAATCTATTCATAACCCAATAATTTTATAACATAGTTCCTGTGTTGTCTGAAAAAATCATTTTATATGATTATTTTCCAGGTTGAGTAAGAAGTATGAAAAATAAAGTTTTAAAAATATTAAAATATTTTAAAAAATATTTGAATTTACAGACTTTATTTGTCATCTCATCTGTCCATCTGGAATGTCTTCAATTAATCAATAATAATCCAAAGTTCTTACATTTTAAATCTACTAAAAAAGGACTGAATATTTGAGTCTGGAAAAGAATTGACTTGGGTAATATGTTGGAGCCCTGTAGTAAACCTTCTAATGTTTTCCCTTTTGGATGAAATAAATTCATTTCTGATGTTCTGTACATTTTGAAGGTAAGGTAAGGTAATTTTATTTATATAGCACATTTTCAGCAACAAGGCAATTCAAAGTGCTTCACATGAATTAAAAGGAAATACCAACAAAAGCTTTAGTTAAACTTTTTTTTAACTTAAATGTTTGCTTCTAAGTAAACAATCACACCTTTAGGATGTTTATTTACCAGACTGTTGTAAAGTGCATGTGTGTACTCTACTGCAGAACAAACTTCCCTCCACTTTACAGCCCGCCCTCCCGTGCTCCATAGGAGACCACATTTAAAATGAAACCCCACCTGAAATCTCCCAGAGACCAATCCGCTAGAGAAAGGTCAGCGCCGACGGCACACCCTCCGTTGTTCGAAGCCAATCAGAGTGGAAGGGCAGCATTTTGCCTGAGGGTAAAACTTACCCCTGGATGTGTTAATTACGCATCACTAAGCTGTTGCCAATGTGTTCACAACCGTGGACTATCTTTTGGGCTTTTTGCAGCGGTTGTCTTCATTCTTTAGTCAGTTTAGTATGGAAAGTAGACAACAATGGCTTACCAGGCTGAAAAATGAACTTAGCAACAGTCCGCTGGTATCAAATGTGGCTTTTGGATTCATCCTCATGGGACTAGAGAAGCTCGTGGAGCTGGAGTTTGAGTGTCCTTGCAACCCTACGTGGAATGGAGCGTTTTCATCAGCATTCTTCATCATTCCTGCTGTCATGGCCTTCACCTTGATGCAGATCATCCAGGGATGCAGGTGCAACGTGTGGTGCAGGAAAATGGTTTCCCTCTCTAGTTTCGTTCCTGCTGTCGTTTGGCTGATCTTGTTGTTCCTGGACGGCCAGTACTTTGCCTGTGCTATGACAGATTGGGATGGAAGATTTGTCCTTGTTGACAAGGCAGCTCCGCAGAAGTGGTGTGAGCCAGTTACAGAGGGAGACGTCACCTCACAAGAATTAATGCTCCGCTCACAGCGGTTGTTTGTGTTTTCTCAGGTGAGTGGGATATGTCCAGTTGGCACAGTATTCCCTATGTCAGATATACTTGTTATCAAACGATGGAAGCTCTTTCATGTATGCGTTGACTAACCTTACTCTCCTGTGTCCAGGTAATAGGAATAATCCTCCTCATTTTCATCTGTGCGGGTCTGGTAGTGTATGTAATCAGAGAAAGCTGCCAACAGGAGGTGGAGATGCAAGATGCAGATGTGGCTGAGCTCACCGTGCTCAGGATGAGCTCTCTACGGACCAGAACATCATGAGTGGACCTACTCTGTCCTACACAGACACTTTGTAAATACCACAAAAAGACTTGACGGGACATTTTTTTAATCCCCCACCCCCCCTCTCCAGGATATTTTGGGGCATTTAAGAGATGTTTGAAAATCTGTCTGAAAATTCTCCATCAGGTCATAGTGATGTAAGTGTTTCAACATTTGACAAATGGACTTCTTCTCTTGTTTTTTTTTTCCTTGAAAAATTCCTCAAAAGTAAATGTGTGTCGAATGATCACAGGTGTCACCATGTACAATGTTCAAAGGAAAATTGTGTGTTTTTTGTATAAGTATTGAGGAATGAGTATATATAACTGTCCTCTCTTGGTGCTTCCTCACCTGGGTCACCAGTGCAGCAATTTCATTCCTAATCAAGGTGTGGGTTAATATTTTTTTAAATGTCTGGTATTTTCTTTTTTCTTTGTTTTATTGCTACAGTTGAGATGAGACTAAATATGTTTGATCAGGTAAGAATAAATAATAATAACAAATTGATCTAATTTCAGCGCCTTGTAAAAGTATTCGCACCCAGTAAACATTTTCACATTTTGTCACAAAGTGACTGCAACATTCAGTGTATTTCCTTTGGATTTTATACGATAGAACAAAACAAAGTAGCTTGTAAATATGAAGTAGAAGGAAGAGGAAAAAAACAACAAAAAATCTGAGAAGTCTACTGCATATTTGTATTCAGCTGACCTGATTGTTTTACATCTAGACTTAACTGCATCACTGTTTGTACTAGAAACAAAGTCTTCCAACAGAATGATGATGTCATATTCAGCAATTGTGGATATTGTTTTATCACCGAGCCCTCTCCAAACTTCTACACAACTAACTTGTCTTCTGTGGTAATTGGTCTTCCTGATTATTATTCTCTGACCAACCTCTGAGGTCTTTACAGAATTTACATTGAAATTAAGTTTCTCAAAGTCAGAGTCTAATAAAAGTCCCATATCAGGTGACTTGCATACCAGGTGGGGTGGATTTCTTTCAGGCAACATAGTATTTGAGGTTTAATACAAATTCATACCACACTTCAAATAGATTTTTATTTATTTATTGTTTATTTTATTTACTCATAAATCTGGTATCCTTTTTCACTTTACATTTCTGTGGTAGTCCGTGTTGAGACAGAAAAATAAAATTCAGTACAATAATTGAAGTTTATAGTTATGAATTATGAAGCACAACTACAAGTACCTTTGAAAAACACTGTAATTATAAATCACAGAAAATGTTGGAAATAGTTAGATTTGTTAAAAACAGTAACTGGTTTGTCTACAACAAGTTTGTTTTCTTAAACTGCTTCCTGGTTACAAGCATGAATAAAGTGAGAATGAATATCACGCTTTTCTAAAAATAATATATACATATATATATATTTTTGAAAAATATCAGTTGTCAACACAGATTGCTTTGTAACATTTTGTAAACTTTTCACCCATTTCTTTTATGTTTTTTAATCTGTATTTCTTAATACACTTTTTTTTTGTCTAATTTGTTAACTATATTGCCTCATAAGGTGTGTCTGCCAGGCAGCTAATATTGCTTTGTCTTTTATTATTCTTTTATGCTAAAAAATAATAAAAATGTTCCTCTAAATTGAAATTCCTGTTCCATATATAACCTTTTGAGACATAGTTCTGAGTATCTTCAGCAAACAGTTGTAATCTATATAACTAAAATCCTCCATCAATCCACTGCCTGTTCTTGAAAGGCAATTTGTAACATGACAAACAGGCAAAATAACTCATTTTTAAAGCGATGGTTGCATTTTCCCTTTATTTTTAGTATTAGAATGATTTTCCTAATGAGGTAAAGTCCTCAAATGTTTCGGACAGTCATAGTTTGAATATAGTTTACATTTTTCCTTCTAGAAAAAAAAAGAAGTATGTCTAAAGGTTTCAGCTTTTACGTAGCAATAGTGCAATAGTTTCCCTCATATTTACAGACTGCTTGAACAAATTGAAATAAGTGTGTCAATAGTGAAATTAAGAATACTGTTGTTTGGAAGTTCACTTGTGCCTTCACTGAGCTGAAATTATGTTGTTATAATTATTTTTGATTCATCAGATGCATCTCTTCTTTTGCAACAAAGCAAAGCACAATAATAAGTGTAGTCACAAGTTCCCTGAAAAACATAGCAAAGAGTCAAACCAGCTTTAAATTGGCAACTCATAGATTGTGCTTCATTTGCTTTGCTGGTTGACGTTTGCAGATTAGAGGTCATCTGTGGCCTTGCAGAAGTTGTTTTTAGACATTCTGTTGCCTTCACCTTTTGACACAGAGGGGGATTTTAGTTTTTGGCAAATAAGCGTAAAGCCACAACAGCGAACACACGGTTTCAATGAGAGAATGTGTTCACTCTGGTTTTGTTGGACTATTCTATTACAGAGAAATTATTACCTATAGACTCACGTTTATGGATTTAAATGCTAAATTCTGCTTCACTGAGTTACAGCCTTCCGATCTCTTGCAAATTTTCAGCTCACTGGAAAAATAAAAACATTTTGTAAGTTTGTTTTCACATGCTAGATTATCTTCTTTTAATTTTAAGATCTGTCATGAGCTAGAGTTCCCAACACTTTTTATTTCACTTATGCTGGTGTTTTTATTGGCAGTGTTGTCTGTTATTTTCCTCTAAGATGAAATACATTTTGTAGCAATGCCAAAAAGGTGTGTAAAATTCCATAAACTGTGTTGCACTGCAGCGCAGTGTAGTTGAACATGCTGTCTGAAGAATCATAACCAATATCTTTAAAATTACCCATCAGGATACAAAAATAAACTAGACAACTAAGAAAAACAAAAGATTTCAGTGTTGAGGTTTGAAAAAAAACAAAAAAAAAACAGAAGCAGTTAAAATATTCACTCAAGATTCTTTATTCAAAAGATAGTTCAGAAAAAGACTCTAATATTACTAACACCAGACCAGGTGTTTCCCCAACTCACTTAAATGATCTCAGTTTCACAAAAAACACAAATAATCTAGCCTATGGGTTTACAATTTGCAAATCTAAACTCAAAATAAATCTGTCTGGTTCCCATTTGACCACATTACTTGTCTTTTCAATCTTGTTTCTTCTTGTTTTTCAGACACAAACGCCACAGGCATTTTAGGAGGGCAGCAAACACACCAAAAATAACCAGCATAGCTCCCCCTAAAAACAGCATCACATCTACACAGTGGTAGGTATACCAGGGCAGCCTGTAGGACTCAGTTCTCAGGTGAGCAGCTCCTCTGTTCCTCATGACAAACTCTATCCACCAGATGGCTTGGTCCAGGGGCTTCATTGGCTGATCTCTGTGCAGTCTGGATAGTCTCTGCATATTCATCCTATAGGAAGGTTCAGTTAGGACTTCCTGTATCCCCTGCAAGAACGTGTCTTCAGTCATAGTAGAAATCTGAATATTCTTCCCAGCTCCTCTCATTTCAATTCTAAGCAGATTATCATGCTGGTCGAAAATCAAAGGAAGACCCAGTATAGGAACTCCATGATAAATCGCCTCCTGAATACCATTTGTTCCCCCGTGAGCCACAAACAATTTAATCTTAGGGTGTCCTAGAAGGTCGTTCTGAGGCATCCAGTCTACCACTAAAGTGTTGTTTCCCAGATTGGCTGGCCTGACGCCTTTATACTTCCAAATGACTTTTTGAGGTAATTTGGCAAAAGTTCCAGCAATCACTTCAGCTAAATCATGGGGTAAATCTCCAATTAAAGTCCCCAGAGACATTATGATAACGCCCTGCTCTCCAGAGCTCTGCACATACTTCTCTAAGTCCTCAGGCAGGGGTTTCGCAGGTTTACACTGGAACCCTCCCATATAGATAACATTTGGCATAGTGGGACGGGGAAACTCAAACACAAAGTCCACTCTCATGAGCCACAGATCGGCAGTTTGAAACACGGATAAATAGTCTAAATCTGATCCAAAGTACTTTGTAAATAAGGCTTCATAATATGGTAAAATATGCCACATAATTTGGTATTCATTTAAAGCAAATATCATTACATTTAGGACTCTCTGAATAAAAGACATTTTGTCAGACATCTCTGTACCAGTCATTGGAATATACGAGAGAGGAGAAGGTGCGATTGCAAAGTGGCCTTCGCCGTGACTGGTCCATCTCACATTAAAAACTAGAGGTAGTTTGAGGTAATGTGCAAGTATGACACCCATTGGTAAAGCAGGATCTGTAAGGACAAGGTCATAGTTGGCGTCTTGCATGGACTGTATCAGCTCTTTGGACTCAAAAGTCTTTTCAAGACCTTTGGCCGATTTTATGTGGAACTCTGAGACCTTCTGTGCTTGTTCCATTTCCAGTTTGATACGAGTCCAAACAGACTTCCCCTCCCTTTGGATTTTCAGCAGTTCAGTCACAAATGATTTTATGAAGTCTTCGTCAAATCCAGACTCTGTGTCGGTATTAATTGAAGTATAGAACGGGGAGGATTCCGTGATATACCAGTTGTCTGTCTGTCGCACAACAAAAATCTGATGACCCCTTGAATGTAGTTCTTCGATGATGACTTTCATGTTCACCCAGTGGCTCCCGTCAACTGGGAGGACAAGTACTTTCCCACTGTGTACCACCACTGGACAGAGCCAGATCAGACTGATCCAGATCCAATGCATTTTGTGTTCTAAAGCTGCAAAATAAACATCCAATAATTTAGCATATTTTTACCCTACATGTATTTTTCAAATAAAACTATGTATTGCATAAAAACCAATATGGGATTCCAAAAAGACGTTTAATAAATGTGACTGTAGCAATGTTTTTTTTTTCCTGCTGATGTACAATCCCATATGCAAAAGATTAACTTGTGTTGCTCAGAGGTCTTGATTAAGCAAACTGCTCCCTGTATCTGACCCTCTACAGATCCACTAGAGCAAATCAGCTAATATTGACACAAGAATACATGCAAAGACTAAAATAAAGGTTACCTGTTTGGCTGCAGGTGCAAATTTGTCTTTTAAGAATGATTCTTTTTCAAAGTGTTGCCCGTACCAGGTTCAAACTGGAAAAGGACTGTGGAGCTGTATTTATGGGTTCTTAAATGTGTAATTGATAAGAGGGTACAAAGTTGACAGAGAGCAGTACATTGTGTCCATATAAGCCGTACATCACAGGAAAGCTTGGTGTTGATAACTTCAAAGTTGCTCTACTACATTTTTACAGTAAATCAACAAAGTATTTGTAGGATGTTTTACTATTTTTGATTTCTTTTCAGACTTAATGGATATCTTTTTCCATTAACAAATTAAATCAAAATTTGAAGAGATACAGTTGTTGTATAACATACTGTGCATTTCATGCACTATACGTTATGTTGTGATTGTAGAGCTCTTCACTACTCAGAGTGATGCAACAGAGGAAACTACATTTTCATCCGGAGTTGGGTTTTTTGAGACTTTATCAGATTTACAGGAAATTGCTGTTGATCTAGTGAGGGACGTTGGAGAGCAAATTGCTTGGGAGCCTTTTCCTGTAGACTTTGGATGTTTCCCCTCATGCATGAGTGCACTTTTCCCAGATTCCAGCTCTACAGTCAAAAGAAATGCATGTTACATTATCTGGCCACTAAGCTGTCCTTTGGTTTAAGTACAACCATAAGCAGTATTAAGAAGGTTTAGAAAACAGATGGGCTGATGAATAGCACCACCTACTGGATATTGAAGACATCAGCAACTTCTTTGAACCAGAGTATTTCAGCAGTATACTCAATGTAATAGTTTATTAAAAAAAAAAAAAAAAGCCTCCAGTCATCTTGAAATATAAACTTTGTGCAACGTATTGAGTCAGATAGCCAAGCTATAAAATAGAACTGCACATTATTCAATGCAAACAGTAAAACAGGATGTAAGAGATTTAAAGTGAGTGAAAGGGTGCATACACTAATCAGGCATAATATTATGACCAAATACCTAATACTTTAAACACCTGAAGGTGTTTTGTGATGTTTAACATTAAGAAGTTGCCAGCTGTAAGGTGCATGGTGACTCAGCGTTTTAGATTTGTCCCTGTTCAATCATGCACATTTAGCTTGGATCTTGTGAATTTGGAGACCAAGTCAAAATCACAAACTCATTGTGTTGCTCCTTTGACTCTTCCTGAATCACATGATCTGTTGCAGGACACATTAATCTGCTGAAAGAGACCACAGATATCAGAAAATACCACATTCACAATAAGGTTTATGGATTTAATAGCATCTAATAAACTGTTGCATTCTACAAATATGAATATTTTCAGTTTGATTTTTTTTATTGCTAAAATAAACTAAAACAAAGCATTAGCATTCTGGCACCCTGAAGATTTAATTATTTTTCTGCAAACTTACAGTGATGTAACATCTCTCTATCCTTCAAGGAAGGAACTTATTCAT